CGTTGTAAAACAAGCCAATTCACTTCGTGAACTCGGCAACCAAATTACCGTTTGTTTTGTTTACCTCCGTTTTTTTTTTTTGGCGGTAATCATAATGGTGGTCGAGTAGATCATGTTGTGCGGGGTGGAGAACCCTCACTCCGCGCAAGGGGGATGATCGCACCACGTTGTGTTCAAATGGTCAAGCACCCTCGAGGCAGTTACACAGTGCTTACAACTGTCTCTGGAAGTGNTGGTCCGGTGAGAACCCGGCGTGCTCCGTCCCGGCTTTGTAGGGATGCGAGGTCAATGGTCTAACGACTACGGCATGCACGACTATGAGTACACCCCCCCCCACCTGGGTCGCCGGACTCTTCGCCGCCCGGGCCGCCGGCAACCCTCGCGCACAAACGGCGTCGCTTGCCCGGGCCCACGAGCCTCCATCACGTCGAGGTCGGACTCACTCTCTGAGTCTCTTTTCCCTCCCCATCCTTGGCGTGATGCATCCGCGATGCTCCCGCCCTCCCCGCCCTCCTCGTCATCTGCGAGAGGTAGCAGCTGCGGGGGAGCGGGCGATGCAGCGGGCACGTGGCGCCAGGTGAAATTGCGGGTGGCGATTATGGTTCCAGCTTCGGTTAGCATGCGAACGCAGTCACGGGGGTGATTGTGGGCAGGACCAAAGTACCATCCTTTTCGCCCTTGGGTTGCGACTTTGCTTTTCTTCTCAACTTGAACACGGCTGGTTTGAGAAACGGGTATGTAGACCCGACAGGCGGTGGGGAGTCGTGGAACATCTCGTAGGCGAATTTGTCTCCCTCGTTTGATTTAGTGGCGGTGCAGTTCAGCTGATGGCATGCACACGAAATGGCCTCGGCCCACAACCGGGGTGGTCCGGTGCGTCGGGGAACAGTTGCGTCGCTTGGATGCGTGACGCAAGCGCGGCATCAGTGATCAACCCTAGCGCCCGCTCCGAAACGTTGTACTTTGGGGTGTGAGGGGGGGTGAACTCTTGTTTGATGATGCCGTGTCTGCGGCAAACTTCCGCAAACTGCCCCTGGAGCTCGCCGCCACCGTCGGTACGTGCGATATAACCTCACGCGGAACCCCTTTCCTTCGGTAGTCCGCCAGGAACTTCTCAAACCCATTCGCTGCGTCAGACTTGTGCTTCAAGAAGAAAACACGCGTTCAACTGGAGAAATCGTTGCTGATGATCAGTGTGTACCAGTTGCCACCAATGCTCCTGGTTTTTATCTTTCCCCCCAAGTCGAGATACACGCGAAATAACTTCTTAACTGCCCGTGTGCTCGTGCTCTTCTGGACGGGTTTCACCTGTCCCTTGGTCATCGAACAGCCAAGACAGGGTAGCAGCGGTCCATCCGTCAGCTGCACTCCCTGCTGCTCCGCCGTGATCCTGAGCAACGTCTCGTGGGCATGGCCGTGCGCGAGGTGGTACTCGTTGAGGTCAGTGGGGGTGGCTGCTTTCGCATCACCAAGAACTATGAGTGCGGCACAGGCGGTGTGTAGCGTTGACTTTATTTGATAGCCTCGTTGGGTCAGCAGCTTTCCAGTCCGGGGGAACCACACCTCCCCCCCGGCTTTCGTGGTCAGCGTGAGGCCCCCCTTCATTCCCGAATACGTGTGGCGCTCCTCCGCCAACGAAAACAGCGAGAGGAGGTTGTAGGGGGCCTCTGGTACATGGGCAGCATTCAGTACTGGTACGGGTACTCCACCATCTTCCGTCTGTACGGCTAAGGTCACATCTCCGTATCCTAGAAGAGGAACGGGGGCCTTGTCGCCTCCGATCCCCTTCACCCAACCGCTACGCTCACGGTAGTTCACGAAGTTGTCTGCACATCGGAACATGGAGCACGTGGCCGCTGTGTCGGCCACGTACACCGCCTGGCCTTGTTCCACAACCCCCACTAGACCTACTTCACCAACGGTACCACACTCGCCTGGGGGGACTGCCACGGCACAAAACGCCTGGTCTTCCACGGAGTCCACGTCGCTCTCATGCTCCACCACTTGCGTTAGGACGGCCTCCTTCGTCGCGCACTTTCCTTTGGTGTGGCTCCACCCCTTGCAGCGCGCACACCGCGGCACGAAGTCCTTCTCGTTGGTAGTGCAGCCGATCGCTTGATGTCCACGATGTCCACACCTAAAGCACCGGCCCGGGAACTTATAGTCCCCGCCACCGCCGCCATCGGCGCCTCCACTGCTGCTTCCCTTGCTCTCCTCGACTCCTCCGGATCCGCCTGAGCGGCCGCCGCGACCGCCGCCGCCGCCGCCGCGACCGCCTCCGCCGCGGCCACGACTGCTGCTGCGGCCACGGCCGCCGCCACGACCACGACCTTGCCCCTGACTCCTACTTGAGCACCGCTCCCTGCGGACCTCACCGTCGGCGAAGTACGCTTGCTTTGCGCCCTTCGCCCCTTTTCCTTTCCCCTGCTCCAGCTAAGTCCTTTCTCGGTAAAGGACTTTGCGGTTTGGAGCATCTCATTGAGGGAGTTTTGGGGGTTTTCACCTCTAGATATCTTGGTCGACGTCAGGGACTTAAGGTCCTCTGACGGCTGTACAGATGATTCAGGGTCGTGTATGGTCTTGAGCTCACGAAGTGCTCCCTGGGGCGTCTCTGCCCGCTTCATGATTTTCCGATTTTTT